GATTCAATGTTGTTTATTTCCTTGCGTCATAACTAACGTGGTAATAAACAAAAAATCAATAACTTCACTTAAGTATAATCGAAGAAATAACTTCGCTCCAAAAAGGAACAGCGACAGTTTTTTTCTGTAGTTACGAAACAATATTATCATGAGCAATCTTTTGAAAGGTCCTATCTTATACTTAACCTGCATCGACCGAATTTTCTGAAAAAATCGTCAAAAGTGCCTCATACATTTGTGCTAAATTTTTCTCCATTCACCAAATTCCCAAACTGCTAAATTCTTTGTTTCTTCATTTCTGCATATGAATTTACAAAGCTGCATTTATGAGCAACCTTTTAACAGTTCAATCCAATCATTTACATTTGGTTTGCGCGTAATTCCTTCAAGTAGCGGGGAATAATAGTCAACTAACACTTCAGTTCTGAAAGAACTCCTCTGATGATTTGTTCAACCTTATACTCTGATACTGCTCAACTGCCTCTTCAGGCCTAAGTAGCATTTTACAAATTGACGCAAAAAAAGTGATTCTTCAGCGGTTAAACCTTCTGTTACCACTCCTCTAGGTTGTTCCAAAAAAGCAAAGCATAATTCAACCAAAAACAGGATTTGACAATCAAGCCACAGACCCAAAAAAATAACTTTTTTAAACGCTCAGAAAAGAGCACACAAATAATTCACCAAATAGTTTTGAAAGTTTGCTAAATTAGAAACAAGTAATCAGAAAACATTTTCTGAGCTGCCTGACGAAATTTATTCAGGTAGACTAATAAGGAAGTATTAAGAAGGTTAATGAGTAGGCTGCATTTCGGAACAAAGGAATAATTTTAAATTCTGCTGTTATCGCACAAAATGAAATTGATCGCTAAATTCCACTACTCAAATAAAAAGCTTAACAAGAGTTTTATGTCCCGCAGCAGACTTGTTATTCAGTTAATAAACGGTGGTGAAATATAGACTGGAATTTCAATTTTGAAATGCTTACAGGGAATTCCTTCTTATTTTCTGTTCTCCGGGAGCCTCCTCCCATCCCAGTTCTGTATCTCCGACTATAAAAGCTTATATCGGGAAAGTGCCATAACTGGTGCCGTAAAAAAAAAAATTTCTTTTTCGTTTTTTTTTCATTTCTCCGGTATTAAAAAAACAGAAAAGTACAAATTTAAACTCAAAACCTGCGTCTGTTGATCGCAGTGTTGCACAATACGCAGCAGCTCTTCATGGACTAACTCAACACAGCGTAAGCTGGGGTCCTCCAAGCGGCTTATCTGTCTTTTAACAAGCAATTCAAAGCATATTTCTGGAACGAAGATAGCCATACGCGTTCCCTAAACCATGAATTAAATTCTGAATCTTTTGGTGACGAGGTATCTTTTGGTATCTTGAATAGCATAAAACAAACTGTCGAGTTGCGCATAGCTGTTAATATATCCAAATTTGTCAACTTGTGCAATGGATCAATAGCCTCCAAGGTTTTACCAAATGTTTCGTAAAATATATATCTTATCCGAGCTCCTCCACATCTGTAAGATTTCATGGTAAGGCACATCACACCCTGCATAAGTAATATAGTTAGTCAATTGCGCCGGTCAAGTAAATAAACAAATCATTTCGCGCTTCAAGTAAGATTACTAAAATAAAAAAGTTAATACTGTTACACACTGCAAAACTACCTACTAAAAATAAAAAAAAAGAGAGAAAACTTCAAAAAATAATTAATTAGGACCTGCAGTCAAAAAAAGGAAAAACTTTTTCAGGATAGCGTTACAGCCCATCCCTTGTATTCAAATTCGTCAGTAAACGACCTTACAAAAAATTAAATTCTAGAATTTTGCCGGTTTTTACAACCGCCGGCTTAGTTGAGGCCTAATCTTTAAGACCAAGAAAACTGATTCAGCTAAGAAACTTACAAGGACACCGTTATAACCTTTTAACTACAAGTCTTCTAGCGAATTTCTGCCCTTCCCTCTGACTACTGTGGGAAAAGATCATGTCGCAAATTTTTTTGTTTTTTTATGCCACCTACTTTACATTCTACTTGAGACTTTTCATACCCTCCTTTAAAACATAAATTGTTTAAAGAGAAAGCACCGAAAAGGAATTCTTAAAAACAACATTAATTCCTGAGCAATTTGGGCAAAACACTTTACGAAAAGGCATTTCTGCTTAGAGTATGGACCAGAAGAAACTTTAGATATCCATACTAGTGACCAACCAACCTAGCCAATTTAAGAGTGAATAGATATAAAAACACTAAAAGCGAGTTATTCCTTCTGATAACGCCTACGATTTCTGTAAAAAGCGAGTGGAATTATCCTCTAAAAAAATAAAATAAAATAAAGTTAAGCAATTAAAAGGAAGATAACGAAAGAAAAGGAATTCTAAAATTTAGCCAAACTCTATACAGTTCTGAAGTCACAATGTTTTTTGACACGCCCTCAATTGCGGCAGTATACGCAGTGGCAAATCGAGTGATAATTTGCAGTAAAGTTCCCCTATAGTCCTGAATTGGCTCTCCGTAAGTTTTGAGTTCAGACTGATATTGTGAGATCATCATATTCACTCGCGACTTGAGCTTTGGCAGGCATTCTCGTATATGATGCATGAGCAACTAAAATTGCAACAGGCAGTTTTCCTGCTATATTAAACCCAAAATATACAACTACCCCAAACATCACTCCAAAAAAAAATTAACTGTAATCTTTGTTCCTCACCTTTTTAAGCTAAAAAACTTAACAAGCGCAAGTGTGAGCAGTTAATCATTATTTAAGTCAAAACAACAGGAAGTCGGTGAGTGTTTCAAACTTCTTTAGGCCTTAGAATTTCCTGTCTCAAAAATGTTTAGTGCTTATTTCTTTTGATATTAACAGTTGCTGTAACAAGCAAAAGGAAGTTTTTCAAATTATGATCAACAAAATAAACTCAAAAATGTTTTTAACACTTAGAAGCAAGCAAACAAATAACATTTGCGATACTTTGGTGAAAGTTATTTTGAAAAAGAAATTCAACATTTGAATCAGTCATAATCAAACCAAATAAATAACAGAAATTAAGTTCTTTCTCAAACTTAATCAATTGCCGAAAACCAATACATTTGACAAAAGAAACAGATGGTTTGGGGAAGACAGAAAAGTTCTCGAAGTTAAAATGAAGTCACTTGCAGATACCTTATTTAAAAACTCGTAGTTCTCATTATCTGTTCATTAGTGCGTTAAAATTCCAAAACCTCAACGCGAATAAAGTTCCCGCGAATTTTTAAAGCTTAAAACGCCATAATTTAATAAAGCAAAGGAGGGTGCTGAACTAAATCTGAGAGTTAAAATGGATTGAAAGTAATTATAAACAAAATGCTCACTCTGTTCAAGGTTTTTGCTAAGTAAGGTGTGCCGCTTCTGTTGATCAAAGTAGGGTACTTTTTTTGGAGAAACAAATGTTCATGACGAAGGCTTTCGGTAATGGACTTTTTATTAACGATGTCTGCCTGCGATCTAAGTGAAACGAATATTAGGTACAAAGCTCAGTTCATGGTTTACAGGATAATAAAGCTCCCCACTCACAATTCAATTTTTTTCCTCATACTCGTTCAACTGAGATAGTTTACATCCATAAATTTTTAATGTTTATCATAACAATGCCTCCATCATAAAAGCTTCCCTAAATTCCCTAGGAACTGAGATCTAATAATTACTGAGAAAACAAGAGAAGGATATGCACAAGATTCAAATAAAGTTGTAAATCACTAAGGAAATTTAAGACGCTAACCGATTCACAACGCCGATAATACCTAGCTTTACAGGAACAAGCCTCCCGAGTAGAACATCCATAGCATCGGTACCTTGATCCATCAAATCCAATTTGGTTAAAACAGCCAAAGTGCGGCACCCTATAAACCTCATAAATTGACACGTTATACGATAATAACTTCCTTTACAACAAATACAAATTCCCAAAAATTGTCTCACAGCTGCTCCTCTCCATCAAGTAAAAAAGGATCAGAACAATTATCAAATAACCACTTTAACATCAGAAGGCTTTGTCACTGACCATCAGGATCAACTTCTCGCGCCATTTTTAATGGCTCAGAAGTAGCAAAATCTTGGTTTGCCGGAGTCACAGCCAAAATTATCGAGTTTGGGTTATGAATATACGACAAAATAATGTCGCGAATTTGAATCTGAAAAACATCACTGAAACCAACCCAAGAGTTTTGAGTAAT